TTTTTTTATTCGAGTTAGTTATTCGATTTAAGTTTTGTGCAGGGTCTCCTTATGGAGCAAAGGTGCCGAAACTGGATAGAGAGAGGTGAAATTGATAAAGGGAGTTTCCATTGGATGCTTCAATTACTTAGTTGTTCAAAGAAACGAAAGTTGGAAATTATGAAGGAGACAGAGGTTTGGAAGCCCTATTATAGATGCAACAAGGTCAGAAAATGGTTGAAGAAAGATCAACCTACTCGTCAAAGGTTGGTTGCACTAACAGGAATGTTAAATGGCCAAGTGGAAAAGAAGATTCCGAGCTGGAAAAGTACTGGGGTGTTTGATCGAGGGAAGGGGGAAGAAGGAAGGTTCACAAGTTTCAAGAAAAGATCACGCAAATCATTCTTGTACTGTGGAAGAAAGTTGAAGGAAGATTTTGTAGTACGGGCTGCTGATTTGATTTCTTTTAAGATTGGGAAAAAGGTGCTGGCTACGGTAAAAAGAGGGATTATGAGATCAAATTATGGTAAAATATCTCAAGGACCCGATTGTATAGAGGAGGATAGATACGAGGATATATGCCTTGGACCACTAAATAGTAGGATATTAGCAAAGGCAAACTGTAAGGACCGAGGTAATGATAGGGAAAGGGATAATCTTCTACTCTCCTTTCGTGTCAATCCTTCAAGATATCAAAGTTCAAACCGGGGAAAAGTGAGCACTGACCAAGGATTTATTAAAGAAGAAAGAATCACGGGGACAAGGAACAGATCACGTAAATCGTTCAAGTACTACAGTAAGGATTCTAGGAAGAGACATGGCGCTGTTATCAAAATTTAGAATAAGTACGGAACGATTGAAGGTACTACGACTCTTGTTAAAGGAAGAAAGAAAAAGTCCAACATTGGAAAACTTTTCCGAGGAAAGGTTGATTTACGCAAGGAAGGACAGTGGTGCAGCTACAAGGAAGTCAACTTTACCTTGCTGGCAGAACCTATTCACACAATGATGGGTACAAAAGGGATAAAGGAAGGTATTATCGGGGGCAGGTGGGGAATCGATGTTACAGCAGGCACATTCCTCGCTGCACCGGCTGTGTTCAAGGAAGCAATCGAGGCAGTGGCATGTTACACAAACGTGGAAATAATAGTACGATACAGGGTAATATCTGATGGGTAAAAGGAGTTGGCAGACTTGGTCAACGCCTTGGGAAATTTCAGGATGATGTGGAATCGGGTCACAAAGTGGATTGGAAAATAAGGAGAAGGCGAGATAATATTTTTTCAAAGGAGAGACAAAAGACTTTTACCCCGTTTGCTTTGGTCATTTTTGACTTTTGTTTGCTAATTGCTAGATCGCCCGGTCACACAACCATTCTTTATTTCACCTTAACGTTCTTTGCTCCTAGAGTCAAGATGTCGGTAGAGGTAGCTTATCTCATGCAATAGCTACATTTCACTGGGGAAGAATCGGAAGAAATAGAAACTCCAAGAGTCATAAGTGAAGAAGACCTTGTGATTATGGATCACTGGGTTGTGGCTAAGCTCATCAGTTACAAGAAAGCTGACTGCGAAGTTATATTGAAAGTGTTTCGTTCCATTTGGGGGAGCGGAAGGTTGGAAGATTCCATCATATTACGGGAAAACATGTTCCTATTTCAATTCAAATCCTTGGACGATAAACTGGCAATTATGAGGAGGACCACGTGGAGTTTCAATGGAAATATGTTAGCCTTGGCGCACTATGACCCAACGCTTAGCTTGGAGGAGTATGATTTCACGCCATTAGCCATTTGAATTAGAATCCACAAGCTTCCATTAGGGCTTATGCGCAAGATAACGACCATAAAAAACGACAACAAACTTGGCCAAACTATAGCGGTCGATATATGGTCAGGCGAAGGGAAAATGAGAGACTATCTCCGAGTACGACCAAGATACGTTAAGATGGGGAAAATGGCCAGCCAAGGAGGTGCATTCTCAAGTATGAACATCTTCCATCATTTTTCCATTGGTGTGGAATCATTGGCCACATTCTCATTCAATCCCCAGGGTACTCAACAAAGCTTCAAGAGCCACTGTAATACGGGGACTAGATCTGTGTGACGTCAACAAGAATTATGGAGGAGAGCAGCTGCACGAGGCGTGAAGGGGTAGTGTATATAGATAGTGAATCATCCAACAATTCTCTCTTTCAGACAGAGAATAGCCAGACTTTGGGTAGACTTTGGAGGAACGTTCGAGGCCGACCTTGGATCCCGGGAAGATACATTCTCCAGTCATTTAGATCTAACCCCGAAGATGAGAACCATTCTACTCATGCAGATAGTTTACCACCACATGTTTTTGTTATTAGAGATTCAGCAAGAGAAGAGGAAAATTTCTAGAATGCAAATCTGAGTGTTCGAGTAGAAATTGAGTCCTCAAGTTCGGGTAAACGCAAGGGAGGAGATAATGGCAAAGGTAAAAATAAGTACAAGAAAGCACTTCGGCATGATCTGAATACTACCATGTCCACGGTGAACTTATGTGTTGGAACTAGCGAGGAAGAAGACCCCAGCGAACCCGCAAGTTAGCAGCTGAGGGATGTATTTCTTACGGCGGTGACTGAGGTACAACCTCGCCGATCTCCATTATAGCTTTATGCTGGAACTGTCGAGGGCTTGGGAACCCATCGATAGTTTAGGAGCTGCGAGGACTCATCTCTGAAAAGGATCATCTACTTGTTTTTGTGTGTGAAACTAAAATTCGAAAGAATAAGGTGGAGTCGATCAGACTCACTACGATGATGCATGGTTGTCTATCGGTGGACAGATCAGATAATGGTGTTGGGCTTTTACTACTATGGAAGGAAGGCATTAATGTCTCATTGAGAAGTTTTTCTAACCTTTACATTGATGTGGAGATAAACTGGAAATAGCACCATTTCAGGTTCATGGGGTTTTACGAATGAAGCGCTTGGGCAGACAAAAGAAGAAACTGGAAATTATTGCAAATTTGGCCTCCTCTTCTTCACTCCCATGGTGTATGAGAGTGGATTTCAATGAGATATTGCATGCTTACAAGAACGAGGGAGGAAGAAGATGGGCTAATGTTCACATGAATGGCTTTCAAAGTTGTCTTTGGGATGCAGATTTATGGGACATCCGGCCTAGGGAAGGATGGTTTACATGGTCGGGTGGAACCAATACTAGAACTTTTGTTACGGAACACATCAACAGATTTGTGGCCACAAATGTTTGCAGGCTTATGTTTCCCGATTACTCAGTGACTACAATTCTGACCTCTTTCTTGAACCATTGTGCTCTTTTCCTGTTTTTGGAAAGTGTTGATGCCTCTCGGCCACCTAGAATTGATTACTTCAAGTTCGATGTTTGTTGGGTGAAAGAGGAGCAATGTACGGACATTGTAAGATCGATCTGGGAGAACCGAGATGATTTATTCTTGTGCAAGGTTAAGAAGGCAGGAGATAAACTCGGAAGGTGGCAAAGGACGAGACGGTCGCAGATGAAGAGAGATAAAAGGCGACTTAGAGACCGAATTCTTCAATTGGATTCGGCTCCAATTTCGGACCTTGTTTGCGAGCAGCATTGTCAGGCCATGGCTGAACTCAAAGAGATTATTGACAAGGATGAGGCTTACTGGTTGTAGAGATCAAGGGTTGCATGTTTGAGGGAAGGAGACAGAAACACTACCTTCTTTCATGCTAGAGCTAATGGAAGGAGAAAGAAAAACTGGATAGAAGGTATTGAGAGTGAGGAAGGAGTTTGGTGTGACCAGTTGGAGGATATCTTCGATGTGGCCACAAGTTACTTCACCTATCTCTTCCACTCTTCAGGAGCCGAGCCCGATGATTAGATTTTGTAATCCATTGATCACTTTGTAATGCCAATGGACAATGAATTGCTCTACCATAACTTCACCTCGGAGGAAGTCATCCATGCCTTTTCGCAAGTAAACCCACATAAAGCTCCTGGTATTGATGGTCTATCCGATCATTTCTACCGTAGTTTTTGGAATATTGTTGGCCATGATTTTGTTTGTCTTTTCCTTGATTTTCTGAATGGTAATATGAAATTTGCTGATGTTAATCGCACTATAATAGTGCTTGTTCCCAAAATAGGCAGTCCAAAATTAATGAAAATTTTCCGATCGATTAGCCTTTGCTCGGTCGTCTATAAGGTTGTGTCAAAAGTCATTGTTAATCATTTAAAGCCTTTGATGTTAAAATGCATTGCTGAAAACCAATGTGCTTTTGTTCTGGGTAGGCATATCTCGGACAACTTTCTTGTTGCTCACGAGTTAATTCATTTCCTTAAAGGATCCAAAAACGGACCAAATAAGGGGACAACTATTAAGTTAGATATGGAAAAAACATACGATAGGGTTGAATGGGATTTTGTGTTGAATGTTATGATTCGAATGGGGTTTGATGATTACTTTTTTAACCTCATCTGTAATTGCATTAGCTTTGTTTCCTTCCAAATTAGGCTTAATGGTGCTTTGTCCGATCTCTTTACCCTAGAAAGGGGACTCCGGCATGGTGACCCCTTGTCCCCATATTTGTTCTTATTTTGCGTACAGGGACTCTCAGCTTTGCTTCTTGAGGCACAAATGAGAAATGATATCAAATGCATTCGGGCTAGCATTCAAGGACCTCGAATCTCTCACCTCCTCTATACAGATGATAGCATCCTATTTGTGAAGAACTCCATTTAGGAACTGAGAAAAATCAAAAGCATCCTATTGAAATATGAAAGGGAATCAGGACAGAAGGTCAACTTCAAGAAATCCAACATCTACTTCAGCCCCAATACTCCAATCTCTTATTGAATGGTTTTCCTTAATTTGCTAGGAGTAGCGGAGGCTCAGGATCCAAGAAATTACCTTGGTTTGCCACTTGCAGTCGGGAACGATAAGAGAGCGGCCTTCAACTTCATCAAAGATAGGAATGTTAAAATAATTCAAGGGTGGACCAAGAGACTTATATCCTTCTGAGGTCGAGAAATTTTTATCAAGTCTATGGTTCAAGCACTTCCAGCGTACTCCATGTCTTGCTACCTGTTGCCAAAAGGTGTTATTGAGGATATTAAGACCCAAGTGAGGTCGTATTGGTGGTCGGGCAAGAAGGATACTAGAGATTGGGATATGATTACTTGGGATAAGGTTTGTCGGTCCAAAAGATTTGATGGGAAGGGTTTCAGGGACCTAAAGTTGTTCAATATTGCCCTCCTGGGCAACCAAGTTTGGAGACTCATTCATGACGAGAAGTCACTACATTTAAGGTTCTCAAGGCCAAGTACTTCCCTTGTTCAAATTTTCTTGAAGCCAAACTTGGGGATAAGTACTCTTATGAGTGGGCAAGCATTCTTAAGGCCAAATATGCACTAATTGAAGGCTTTTTCTGGAGAGTGGGGATTAATAGCTCGACACGGATGTTCCTGAACAAATGAGGGGACTCATGCCCTCTTCGGTGGAATGAAAGATACATGGATAGCAGTGTTGATCCTGTTAAGGTGGCGGATTTTATGCTTCCTGATTATCCCAGATGGGATGAGAATAAAGTTTGAACGGTGTTGTCAAAGGAAGATGCAACTCAGGTACTGAAGACATTGATTGCACCCACCCATGGTGACAAAATTATTTTGTGCCACCATAGCTTAGGTTCCTACTCGACCAAGTCGGGTTATAATTGGTAGAAGATTCAAAATAGCCCGACTATGGTCTCGAAGATAATCTAGAATGTTATTGCTAAGGCAAATGTTCTCCCAAAGATTAGAATCCTCGGTTGGAGACTCTTTCATGAAGCTCTTTCAACTGGGAAAAACTTAACCAGACCAGACTTGGGGATGGTATTTGTAGCCTTTGTAATGCCTCCATGGAATTGGCTCTGCACGCGATTAAGAATTACCCTAAGTTGAAACCTATCCTCAGTGTGTCGGGACTTCCCCAAGCTATTGTTTATTATGAAGGGACCTCCTGATGCGATTGGTTTAAGTATATGTTCTCCAAGCTAAACCGAGAAGGATTTGATTTATTCCTAACGTTACTTTGGAATGTTTGGAATCATAGGAATAAATAGATCCATGACGCTGAGCTGTAAACGGATAGAGACGTCATTTTAAAAGCTTGGAATCTTCTTGGTGAGTTTAAACAGGTCTCCAATCTGTTCACTATCCTTAGCAGAGAGACCCCTCCCCGTCGAATTCGCAAGTGGTGTAAAACACACAGGATTGATCAAGATCAATGTGGATTGAGCGTTTTGTCATGAATCTCAGAAGGTCGCTGTTGGCATTGTGGCACGAGATTCAAACGGAATGGTCCTTAGAGGAATGGCTACGCAGATTGAACTTCTAATATGGATGAATCAGCGAAAGCTTATGTGTTTACGCAGGGAGTTAGACTTGTTGTCGAGAATGGGTGGAGCAATGTGTTAATAGAAGGAGATACTATCTCGGTAGTGAACAAATTGACTAATCGATCTATGAACAAGACCCAGGACCTCTCTACAATTGGATTGTTGCTCAATGAGGCTCGCTCCCTTCTTGATGACTCTCCATCCTTCAAAGTTCACTATGTTTGTAGGGAAGCGAACAGAGTGGTCCACTCGCTGGCTCAATCGGCTTTATCGAACCATAATCCGGTTTGGTTTTTCCTGGATGAACCTGAATGTATTAAGCAACTTGTTATCTTTGATGCTATTGGAATATAAGCTATTTATTTCCTAAAAAAATAGATGCATGTATTTGAATAGTGCTATGTATATTGTAATATATTACACCCGCTACATAGTGTGGAGTGTGGAGTGTGGAGTGTGGTTCCACCCCAAATATGACATCCAAATTTTTTTATATATCTATTAGGGTATCTGGATTTTTATTTTGAGATCTCCATTTTCTACAGTATTCATGGAACTTGTCTCGTTGAGATGACGAGTTCTAATAAAAAATATTTTATTTTTTAAACTCATCACGTTGAGATGATGAGTTCTAATAAAATATAAATTTTATTAAAATTTATCAAATTAAGATAAAAAGTTTGAAAAAAAATATTTTTTATTGAAACTCGTCACCTCAACGTGACGAGTTTCATGCACTATAAAAAATGTCGTAGATCTCAAAATAAAAGCATTTGTGCACTATTTTACAAAAAAAATTCAAACTGGCCTATTGGTAAAAAAAATGTTGAGTGCAGTAGTGGTAAGCAAATAAATTTTAAGATAGAGTTGTAAAATATGAAATATATTATTAAGTAATTAACAAATCATAAAAATTTCTACCAACAGGATTACCTCAAGTGATAAGCAAGTTTATATCGCTTAAATAAATCTTGAGTTTGAGTCGCTGCATATGCAGAAAATCTCCGCTGGGAGATTTACCCACCAAAACCAGATGTGTCACACAAGTTAATCTTAGATTAATCAGGATAAAACCCTAGAATTGAGAGTGCAAAAAAAAAAATCACTAAAATTTCCAACAAAAAAATACATGACTTAAACATCATTTTAAGCATGCCATAACATCAAAACACGTTATTCAACTTTTTAACAAGATATCCAAATCAAGCATATTTCATCTTCTACCATGATTTTTAGAACTAGCATTTCAAAATATTTTAAAGTTGATAATGTCACACATCAAGTCTATATTTTTGGAACACAGAAACATAAAACACGTAGTGAATGCATTCCAATGGTAATTCTACCTAAGACGCTACTAGACCAATCCTTTCGACAAGCAGAAACGCAGTAATAGTTATCTAACTAACTAAAGAAGTTTCTCCTCTTTTACGTTGTGGGGCTGCCCTAACAACTCTGAATGAAAGATCAAAGGTAGTTTTAAGCTTTGATTGACCATAAACGTTAGTTCCACAAGAATGTCAACATTTGAACGCCACATCTGTTTGCTACATCTAAATATATATACTTCAGTTGAAAAGATCTAAAACTTTGCATTTCGGAAACATCTGCATAAGTTGTTCATCAAATTTTGAAAAGAATATCAGAACCTGTAGAATGATTATCTAAGAGTCAAACAAGTGTAGAATAGCAAATATATGTTATTTAAAGATGAACTTTCAGCAACTAAGTAGAGACAACGGAAGCAACGAACAAATCCTTAATACTTGAACAGCCCCGTATTTGAGCATGGGCAAGAGAGGCACTTGCTCGGGTCTAAAATTGTAGAATTCCTATATAATTAAAAAAAAGTATTTGTTTAGTCACCCATCTATTATTTTATATTTGTTTTGGTTATTTCAATTATTATTTTTTTTGAAAAATTATACTTAATGGTATATTTTAATTTTATTGGTTATCCATCATTAAAAAATCAACAACGATGTTGATATGATATTTTAAAATTATTTTTTTCTTCTCATTAAAATTATACTTCTTATTTTTTTGCCATTAAGGAGTGCACCACGAGCAACTGTTCAGGCCTTCTGTTTTTTATAGAGCCCCTAATTTTCTATTATATTGTTTATTTTTATAATTTAACCTTTTAATTTTCTTTAATTTTAATTTTTTATCTTTATAATTGAGGTGCCTAATTTTTGTAATCCTACTTTTATCTTTATGTTAGAATTTATGAAACTCGATCGATCAACTGAAAATGAGCCAAGAGGGGTGAATTGGCTTTTTTAAATTTTAGGGAAATAAGGAGAAATGATAGGAAAGAATTACACAATGATTTATAGTAGCTCAACTTCCTCAATAAAGTCTACATCCACTACCCTAGCTTCTCACTAAGGATTTCTAAAAAATTTACTAATTTGTTCTTTCTTTTTTCTAGGCTCAAGAGTAACTTTTACAATTTCCCTTTTCAATGGCAAATATAGAACCAAACCCCTTTTACAAAATGATAAAAAAAATTGTAAACAAGAAACCTCTCAAAGGAAGGTGTTTACACAATTAAGTTCACTAAAACACTCAATTTACAAGAGAAAAGAAAAAATAAGATTGAAAGAGCTTTTTTCTTGACGTTGATTGCTTGGATAGGTGTTGTAACCTTCTTTAAGTGTCATCAACTTGTTTTTATATGCTGAAATGTGTTTGTGGATATTTCTAGTTGTGGGGATGTTTTGGAGTTGTTGGGGACTTAATTGCTGCAAAACAAAATTATCCAGACAAGTGAGTATCGGTACTCAGGTTATGAGTATCGATATTGGGGTATTAATACTTGTATAGAATCGATAGCAAATTTGTATTCTGGAATCTAAACACATTTAAAACCAATGAGCAGTATCAGTACTTCCATGGAAGTATCTATACTTCATTTACCTTGAGTATCGATACTATAAGAAAAATATCGATATTGTTCATGTGATATTGATACTGTAGAGACAATATCATTACTTCTAGCAAAGAAAAATGTATTGTGTTCAAATTCAAGTTTTATGGACTTCGAATTATTTTGAAAACTTTGCATAAATTCAATTTAGTCCAAAAATATTTGAATGTTTATTTGTTATATCAAAATAGATTCAACACTTTATAATTGAGGCCCTTAATTTTTTTTTTCAATCTCATTTTTTTACATTTATAATTGATGATCCCACTTTATACATTTATAATTAAGCTCCTTATTTTTCAATCTCACTTTTTAGTTTTATAATTGAGCCCCTAATTTTTTCAATCCCATTTTTTACATATATAATTTAGTTCCCTAATTTTTTCAATCTACTTTTTACCTTTAAAATCAAGGCACCTAATTTTTTAGTGTCACTTTTTACCTTTATAATTGAGTTCTCTAATTTTTTCAATCATACCTTTTACTTTTATGAGTTTAAACCCCTAATTTATTCATTTTTATATGATTTGTTAACGTAATATTAAATTAATTATTCAAAGTAGTAAAATTTACTTTCATTTTATAAGTGCCTATATTTTAGTTTCATTCGAGGATCCAAAAATGTCTGAGACGGCTCTGTATTTATTAGATAATTTATTAAACGTAATAAAAAATAATTAAAAAAAAATCTTTCTCTTAGAAGTTAATTTTTTCGATACTTATTATTGGAGGCATAATTTTTATATTCGTCCAGACCACTAAAATCTCATAAACGAGCGTGAACTTAAACAGTATACTCTAAACAGTGTGGGCACTACAGTACGCACACAAAATTCCACTCTCTAATTGAAATTATTCAGGAAAATACAAACTAAGCGTGTATAACCAACACTTATAATACACCCTAAAAAACATAAATGACAATACCAAGATAAGTAAACAAGGAATCATTTACAGGGCCATTGAAGGGTGAAGAGTCGCGGCTCCAGCAACTGTAACTAAGATTTCAAATCACGGTCCGAAAATGTGATAACGCTCCCGAAATAGTGGTTTCGTCACCGTCCGAATTACTCGCTACACTCGCAATAGTGCCTAATAGTGCTAGCAACGGTCTCAATAGCGCCCGCGACGGCCATAATCACGGTAAATATTAAATGACTGAAAACACGACCATGATTTAAAACCCTGAATACAATAATTAATAGAAGATAAAAAAACAAATTAAAATTGACACAAAATTTTATGCATGGAAACCAACTTCTTCTACTTCCTACTTTGAAGCAGTGAAGAATCTGTTAAAGGATGTTCAAGAAAACAACATGATTATACTATTGCCTTGTCTTTTGGGAAGCTTCTCTCTCGGAAAGATAAACTTGACGAGCAGAGAATATAATAGGAATAGCTTGATTGGAGCTTCAAAACTCAACCTTTCCGTTTAAGAAGAAATAGAATTTCAGTAGAAGAGAATTTCGAACGTAATACTAAGGAGTAATACCAAAATAAGTGTCCAGACTATACCGTTTTTTCAAAATAGGTGTCTGAACTATTTTTTGTCTCATCCAGGTGTCTACGTTACAAACATTACCTATTTAGGTGCTTGAACAGTCAACGACATTAATTTTCCCATAAAGTGGCACGTGTCATAATCTGAAAATTTTATAAAATTAAAAAATAATTTATTTTTGAAAAGCCTCAAATTTTCTAAAATATAAAAAAACTCAAACTCTTAAATTTTTTTATTTTAGTCCCATTTACTACTCTAACCGCCGGTCATCTTTGGCCACTCATACGTCGTCGACCACCTAATGAGCGGTCACAACTCTTATTATTATCTCAAAACCCAAAATTCGCAAATCCCTAAATTTAAATTTTTAATCCTTAAAATCACAAATACTCAATCTTTCAAATTCGATCTTGATAATCGATCATTTCGCCAACCGTGACAACCGGCCATTTAATCGGCTATTTGACCTTTGGCCGTTTGGCCATGGAAGGATGGAGAAGAGAAGGGGGAGGGGGGACGCGGGGTTTTTAGGTTTTTTGTTTTTTTTTATAAAATATTTTGATAATATTTTTATTTTTTAAAAAAATAAAATTTTAAGATTCTAAGATTGTGATACATGTCATTTAGCGAGGTTTTATAACAGTCACTACAACTCGAACACCTAAATAGGTAACGTTTATAACATTAGACACTTGTATGAGTCAAAAAATGGTTTAGACACCTATTCGAAAAAAGATATGGTTTGAACACTTATTTTAGTATTAAGTTTAATATTATTTATTATAAAGACAACCACAAGTAACATGTAAAAAAAAAAGCCTCGTAGATGTTCACATAAAGTGGAATGGAGACCAAGGCTGGAGATGAAGCACCAAGCAAATGTCTCCGATTCTTGTTTTGGGTTTTGGTGTTTGATTT